GAAGTAAGCCCAACAAGAACCAATTGGTCGGAAACATCTTCGAGCCTCCTTCTCGCACAGATTAATTAATTAAAATATGAAAATCTTATCGGATCTGATTGTGGCGAAACTTCTGGGACTGGCCGAGTTGTTTTGTTTTAATCGAATCGTATTACAATTTTATTGAAGATATGAAGACCAAGATGTTGTGGCCTCTGGCGTGGTCGCAGTCTCCTTTCGATTTATACAAGTGGGTTGACCTCGTTGTCGCAACTTGGTCTTGTTGTCAGGGCGACTATGTGGAACGAAGTCGTCTGTCATGAGAATGTATCAAGTCCACTGTCAGATGCTGGGAGTCATGACAACTACTAGGACAGACGACTTCGGACTAGTTGTGCTCTACATAGTCGCCCTGACAACAAGACCAAGTTGCGACAACGAGGTCAACCCATTTTTCGTTATTATGTTGGTCGTTATGCCGGGATTTGACATAAGCATACACGTTGAGTTGAAGTGGAATCAAGTGCCGCAACACTCGTTTCAGAGGCGATTTTAGCAGAACAACCACGGCGGGCGTTGTTGAGGCGACGAGTCTGCGCTTCGCGACACCCGATTTCGAGGACGGCCAACCTCCCCGCGTCCGACCGGAGCGGGACGCCAGACGAGACGAGTCGTCAGGTCAACCGAGTCTCCAGTTGCCGCCGTCTCATCAAGGGCGAATTAGTTCGAGCAGAACTGGCAAATGCATCCGTCGGCCGGTGGGTGGGGGCAACGGGGGCTGGGGACAACGGGGATGGGGGACGAGTGAACGAGAACGCGGGGCCGGGACAGACGAGAATCAGAGAAGATGGGACGCGATGATACAGTTAATGAGAGAACCTTTAGCAGGCCGCGACTGTCTCTCGGGGGAATAGGGCTCATGCTTTCGTCTACCTTTCATATGTTTGTTCGTCACTCTTCTCCTTTAATTAGATTGACTCGCCCTCCACACCACAGGCCCACTTGGTCTCCTGCCGCCAGAGGCGAAAGTAAATAAATGCATAAACGCATGCGCACAAATGTGCCTTTCCGAGACATGCACGAAGGAGGGCATGAGCAACGAGTGGCCAACGAGATGGCCAGTGAACAGTGCCAGAGACCCGGTCACGATGTTGCTCAACTGGCCGAACGGACCGAGGTACAGCTGGACAGGAATGATGCCAACTTGGCCGAACACACAACTCACGGTCGAGTGACCGGCGAGTCACGTTTGTGCAGGCATACAGACGCGAGAGGGACATTAGAGTTGGTCTTGTGCACCAAGATTTTCACGTTAGTTACCGCGTTGTTCGCAGCCATCTCGAGTCTGTTTGCCCAAGTGGTGGCCAGTCAATAACTCGGTCCGGGCTGGATTGTTGAGAAGCGACGTGGTTTTCTACCAAAGTCGCCAAATTTTCCCTCCGAAACCGCACTTCCTCGTCGCCTCTCGCCCGGCAGGACTCGGACCGTGGG